TGTGTGTGTGTGTGTTGTATATGTTTGATAGAATAATCATTGACCAGTAAACATAATAGATTGATAGTGTGTGAAGTTTGAAAAAAAAAAGATACCGACACGTGTATACCTACTAAAGATTGTTCATCACAATCTGATCTGATATGTAAACAAAATGATGATACAATCAAAATTTCAGAATTTTTCATTCTCTGAATATAAATAGTTTTTTTTTTCTGATAGAGTAAACATTCATCATAAATTTTCAATGTAAACGAATTAAAATGATCGAAAAGAAAAAAAAACACTCACAAAACTGTTCAAAACAATATAATTTTAAAAATTTTCTTTCATTCATCTTTAAATAAAACAAAAACAAAAACAAATTTAGTTGTCAACATTTTATATGACAAGATACAATGTTATGTGTACTTGGACAGTATTAACAGATATAATAATATAAATTTTATCATTCGTTCGTATCTAATTTATAAAAGAAAAAAAAAACGATGAAACATGAACTTAGTTCTATTTTCAATCAAGGTAACATGTATCTAATTTCGATATTTATTCTATTTCTTGCTATGGATGACCTGATTATTCGAAATAACACAGCAATTTGTCTCATTTTCTCGCGTGATAGGTGATAAACGAAAGTGATGAGAGACAGATAACAATAGAAATGAAGAACGATGATGAGCGTGTTAAAGGCGGCACACTTTTGTCATACAGACAGGTAAACAAGTGTCGGACAATCGCCTGTATATACATTATCAATAAATGGATGTATATCATTTTATAGCTCTTTTGTATTCTATAGACAAATCAAAGTAACAATCGTCCATGAGATTCTATTCAATCGATCACATCTGTCACACACACACACACCTTTACTGATCAAATCGAGACCAATAAGCATGTGTTCCGCTATTTTATTCATTGGTCAATCATGTACACTCATCAGACATTCTTTTCTCTCTTTCTATTTTTCTTCTTTTCTAAAATGTTTCAAAAGAAAAAAAAAAGAAAAAGAAAATTTTAACCAATCATAGAATAAATTTGACTGGCATTTTTTTTCTCTCTTTTTTTTTGTGCTCGTTCATTGATGTGTAAAATAATTTTGCAAACTTTTCAAATCAAACAAATATAATATATATATATACATATGGAAACTAGTAGCAAGAAACGATTAGCAACAATTAATGATGATAATCATAGTTCAAATTTAATGAATCATACTAAAAAGAAGAAAAAAACATCATTATCATCATCATTAAATATAAATGAATCTCCTATTGCTGGTACACGAATTACTGAATGGGAAGAATATGAAAAATGGAAAGAAATACGTGGTGATATTGAACCAACAATGAATTATGTTGAAATAACACCAGAAGCAATTGAAGAATTACGTAAAATAAAAAATATTATTGGTGATTATATTTGTCAATTATGTAAAGTTAAATATGAAAATGCTTTTGCACTTGCTATGCATAAATGTCCGCGAGTTGTGCATATTGAATTTCGGTATGTATAGTTATAAAGAAAGATTTTAAAATAAAAGAAAAAAAAACAAACCAAAATTTTTCGTCTTATTTTAGCTGTCCAGAATGTGACAAAACATTTAATTGTCCTGCCAATTTGGCTTCACATCGTCGTTGGCACAAACCACAAACATCATTATCATCGAATGAAACAGCAAAACAAACACCATCATCATCATCATCATCAACTCAAAAATCAATAACAAATAAACATCCACGATGTTCATCTCGTTCTGATTCTCGTTCAACAAATACTTCTTCATCAATAGTTTCAGATACTGTTCATGAATATGCATCTCTTTCAGCATCATCACCAAATATGGATGTACGAAAAAAAGATTCTATTATCTCAAATGGAACACATAAAAAATCTCCTGATGAAATCCTTCGAACTATGTACAATGGAAATTCACAATGGATGGTACCTTCATCATTTCAACCATTCACAACTTCACATATGAAACCACCATTGATTTTTCGACATCATCGATCTTTACCTATGTCAATTCCATCATCATTTGATTTTCGTCGATTACAATCATTGTGTATTTTTTGTCATGAACAATTTTCTGACCTTAATCATTTACTTCAACATATTCGAAAAAATCATGCGGTGACATCCAGTACAAATACCAAGAATACTACTTTAACATTAGACAAAATAGTCTTTTAAAATAAAATAAAACTTGTCTTTGTTTTTTTTTTTGAAATATTTGTTTAATTGTTCAGCTTTGTCGAAATATTATCAAAACATAAACTGTATTAGTAATACTCACTAGATTCATGTTTAAATCATATATGATAAATTATTTCAAATAGATTATTCATGATAATAAACCGTATCTGAAAGAAGTTGGAAATATCACATGAATAAAAAAAGAAACATAAATCTTTTCGTATAGGTGCTTTATAATCTATGTTTAAATGTGAAGTTGATTGTTTGCTTAAATTGAAAAATGTACTTCTATAAGAAAACGAGTAGGAAATTTTATGAATAATAACAAAGATAAAAAGTAAATGTTAAGAGTTTCAAAAAATGTTTTAAAAAAGTCTTCCAGTAGTTTCTGTTCTAACAACTCTAAAAATACTCATTATGTTATCATACGATGAAATCGACTTTCTCACGAAATTGAATTTCTTATTTTCTTAATAGTTAATTCAAATGTCAGAGGCCGATCGCCATTCGAATCAGACGGTTCGACTTCATTCCGGCTGTGAAAAGCTAACTCAAAATTCGATATTATCTCTATCCTTAAAAGATTTATGTTATGTCATGGTTCTATGAGTAGTTTTCCTCTCATCTTCAACTCTTTTAATTTGAAGTGTATATATCATATCAAATGAAAGGTCTTTCTTCTCCTTGTAGAAAACAGAATACACAAGTATAATAAAATATTGTTCTTTTCCTTTTCTCTTTAGATAACGCTGTTCGTTATTAGATATATACAGTATGAGGACGACCAGGACTAAATTCTTCTTCTATTGAACTGTGAAAACTGTGCTCCATTTTGAATTCTATATCATTCGACATGTTTTTCAAATTCATATACTTCATATAGATGACAACGAATTTATATGGAAAGTAACATTTTCAATATCTACCAAGCACTCTAATAATTAAATTAAAAAGTACTATTCTCGATATTTGTGTTTAATGAAATATATTTACTGTTATCATGTGTTACTATATTGATGTCAACATCTTCATCTTCTTCGTTTTTGTTGACTTCTCAGTAATTCTTTACATTCTTAATATGATGTATAGGTTCTTTTGACAAAGAATCATCGTTAATAAGTTGTCATAGAATCTATGAGTAATTATACTTGTTTTTCTAGGCATCTCAAACTGATAGTCGTCACGATTGAGATTTGTACGTCTTCGTTCCCGAACGACTCAGCTTGAATTTACTTGCTACGTATCACTTCGCATAAGCTAATACAAATTCTATTGGTTGAACTAGCGGCATACATATATAGTTCGCAACAAAAGTTCAAGCGAATTTATTCTTTTCAATGCTTTTTTATATTTGTTTTTTCAAATTTTCTTTTACATTAAAGGGTACGAACCTGGTCTAAATAGTGATATAGATGGTACGAGAGATCGGTTACATGATGTATTATAGAAGGGAACTCTGTCTGCCTATATAGATTTTTCATAATCAAAATAATTTTTTCCACGCAAAAATAATATGTGCTTTCCAGTATCTCACATTTCCTATCCAAGAGATTTGTACTAAAATGAAAAACGGATAGACCAATCGATAGAGAATTTCAGGCTCTTTTGGTTTCCAAAAAAAATGTTTGTTCACAAAGCCAAAGTTTAGTAAGAATAGCGAAACACATAGAAAAGTGACATCCTTCAAATCTCATCGTATTACAATGTTTGACTTTTCTATTATTTCGATGGGAGCTGGTATGAGTGTGGATGAGAGCTAAGTCAAGAAATACTCACACCCACACCCTTCCGAGCTTTCTAGCTTCTAACTATCCTCAGATACGAGTGAAATACGATGAAATCTGACGAATTCAATGCTGCTGCCTTTTGAAGTCCGAAAAGCAGAAAAACAGCAAAAAGTATGTTTATGATATGAAACTAATGGGTAGCTCGTAATAAAAGAGGGTCTCAGTATTTTGTTAACATCTTAAGCGTTATCTTACCATTTACGCTTTCTTTTTTTATCAAAAGATTCATCGTCTGCTTCTGCACAAATTGCATATTTCATTGTAAAAATACTTATTTCTTTCTCTTTCGACATCACCACGATTTAAAAACAGCGCTTCACGCAACTTTCAAAATCTCTATTTTTTTCAATTTTTTCCGAAAACATCCAGTCCTTAGGTTAGCCTTATTATCATTGGTCATGCCGTATTCTTTATCCAGCAATAAAATAAATTGCCTTTGGTACGTTGATTGAAATGGAATCAATTTATCTCTTGAGTGGCGAACAAATTATATCCAAAGTAACAGGATTAATTGAGAAGCTGGACATTTTGGAAAAAGATTGAAAAAAATGAAGACTTTGAAAGTTGTGTGTAATGCTTGTTTTAAATCATGATGATATTGAAAGAGAGATAAGTGTTTTTTTACGGCGAAATATACTAATTTCTGCAGAATCAGACGATGAATCTTTCGATAAAAAAATAAAGCCTGAGCGATAAGATTACGCTTAAGATGTTAACAAAATACTGAGATCCTCTTTTATTACGAGCTACCCATTAGTTTTAAATTTTAGTTTCAGTATACTAATCACTCGCATTATATAGCATCACAAAAATACAACTAATTTACAAATAGACAGAATCATTGAACATGTTTTCTTTTTAAAGAGTATTCTTCAGCTGATTTAAGAGCTTTTGACAAATGTTTCTTACCTAACAAAATATTTATTCATAACAATATATGATAAGAAGAAATTCAAAATAATTGTTGATTAAATCATAGCATTTAAAATTTTTTTGTTTCTTATTGTTCATAGAATTATCAATATTGGCCTTTTATTAGCAATGTTCGGAAAACTGTTGATGACGAACGATAAATGTTAGTTGAAATGAATCAAATTTATATTCTTTTAAAGATGATTAATATTCGACGACTTTGAACCATTCCCTGTTGTAGATAATTCTATTCAATTTCTATTTTCTGGTTTAACTTCTAATGACATAATTATTACTTCAGCAATTACCACTGCTTTGTGAATACCTTCTTCGCTAGTCGAGCTGTCATTATCATCTAGAGCTGTTTTTTCGGTTCCTTTCCTCTCACTAATCATATTAAGTGTTCATGTTCATTGAGTAAACAAACGAAAGAATGTACATGTTGATGTATATGAATTACATGAGTGATTAAAATACGATAGAAAACCATAGGTAAAGAATTGATTTAAGGCCAAATATATAGGTTGATAGTTATTTGTAGTCAGTAGAATATAAAAATCATCTATATCAAATAGAAAGAATTAGAATGGCACAAAAATATCAGTAGTTTTTGATACGGTTTTTTTTAATAATTATGGTAACGAAGATATTTCATGTGAAAAATATTGATTGAAATAATAAATAACACTGTATCAAAAAAAGCAGAAACGACAGAAAAAAAAACAGAAAAAACTTCAAAAAGCAGAAGAGGTGGCAGTTCTGTATAGGATTGCATATCTTTGTAAGTCAAAAAGATAGAGCAAAAAAATTATCAAAATAATGCAATCGTTATTACAACATTAGTATAACATTTAGAGTAATGCACGTAAAAAAAAAACCTAATATGTAACTTGGTTCGCTGCTATAAATCAATATCTTTATAGTGGTACTGTATGCACTATTACGATTATATTGCCTAGAAATATGTAGTAATCGATCATAACCTTTCTTTGCACTAAGAATTATTTAATGCACGAGACGATGTATCATAAAAATTTTTTATCCTCTTTTTTTTATTTTATGTGTGTGCATGGACTGAGAGAGAGAAAAACATAATAGTTATATTTACATCTGGATCGATACGAAATTGTCGTTGTCGTCGTCGTCGTCGTCGTCATCTATTCGAATAAAGTAATCGTTAAGGTAAAAAAAAAAACTTTTTATTATTCAAACATCGATTTTGATGACTAAATAAATCTAATGGGAGAAAACTCAATTAATAATGGAAGTCCAAGTCAATTCTATTTTGCTTGTCGTAATAATGATATTGAGACAGTACGTCGTCTGTTAGATGAATATCCATTAGAAGATTTAGATAAAATGGAATCTAATGGAAGTACTGCTTTACATGCCGCTTGTTTTTATAAGAATATTGACATTGTTAAATTATTACTTGATAGAGGTTTTACTCGACGTGTTATAAATAAATATAATTATAAACCACTTGATGAGTGTGAAAGTGAAGAAATTCGACAATTATTTATACGTCCTAAAGTATCGAATCGATTTGGAGGAGATGTATCATATGAACAAGAAAAACTTACATGGATTATTATTAATAAAAATGAACAAAATATTATTCATGATCGTGTATTAGATACATATAATGGTAATCGTTTAGAATATAAACTATTTCATGGTGATAAAATTCTTCAACAATTAGATAATAATATGTCTAAACTTGATGTTATTCGACGTCTTTTTCATCGTGCTATAAATGAAAAAGATTGTACTCGTTTAATTCAAGCCTATACAACGGATACAGATTTTTCTAATCAAATAAATAATTATTTAATAAGACAAAGTGAAGAAATAACAAATGATAGTTGTACTCAAGTAAATGTTATATCAGAATTTATTGATACAATTTTTTTTAATCATCAATTACATGAACAATATCAATTTCAAGGAATATGTTATCGTAGTATAAAAATAAAATCTGATAATGATCTTAATATTTATCGTATTGGTACAAAATTAATAAATCGAACATTTATTTCAGCAACAAAAGATCGACAATTTGCTGAAAAATATGTTGCAGATCGTAATGCAGAAAAAAAATATGCCGCTATTATTTCATTTGAAATTCGTCAATTTAATACAGCATTAGATATTGAAAATTTATCAGAATTTCCAAATGAAAAAGAAATATTAATTATGAATAAAAGAATATTTAAAGTAATACGTATTAAAATGAAAAATAGTTTTGATGTTGAAATTGAATTACGTGAATCAAAATCAACACGAGTAAATCAAAAAGAAATATCAAATGGTTATTGAGGACTATTTCATTGGAATTATTCGTATTTTTATTTTTGTATTTATCACAACAATAAATTTACATATGTATGATAAACTCGATTTGTTGTAAAAAAAAAAAAGAAAAAAATTTAAAATAAAATCTCCTATGTAGATCTTCAAAAGATTCTAAGAAATGTATGTGTTATTAAATTATTGATAATGAGCGTTTTAATTTTAAATATAATAATTAAAGAACGAAAAATGATAAGTTCTTGTTGTTAGAAGTTATTCAAATAAATATATTTTTTGTTCATTTAGATTTTGTAAATTATCATAATTAAACAATTACTTAGATCAATGATTTTGGCGTCTAGATTCATGAATTTCCGACAGGTTCCTACTGAAAAGATGCCGTTTCTGACTCGAAAACATGAAAAATTGGTTGGTGCTTGGAAACAAGAATCTAGTAATTGGATCCAGTAGATGGATTTTTCTAGTTCAAGTTTAAACTGATCATAAACGAGCAGAGCTAATCACCTAATTTCTGCTTCCAAGTTCCTATTATTTTGCGGCCGAAATCAGCTCGTATTTTTTGCCATGGATAGATATAGATATAAGAGAATTTATGAGAAGATTTTGTACATGATTAAGATAGACAAACATTCGTTGTAAGACTTTCTTGAAATCATACAACATATTATTATCTTATTCGAGTAAAGAATTTTATCTTATAGTATAATATCTCATGTTACAGTCCACATACACATATATGTTTTATGTCTCATTCTTATGTTTGCATAGTAAATTAGAGTTTGGCTTTGCAAAATATTTTTATTTATTTATTTTGTTGTTGTTGTTATTGTTGTATTCAAGAAAGAGAAAAGAAAGATTTACATAAATAGGCATAATTTGTATCTCGTCGATTCCAGTAAAGCAAAAAAAAAAAATACGTAATATTTTACATAGTATTGATATGTATCTTTTTTGGTATACAATGAATTCAAAAGAATGTTGAATAATTAAATGCATTATTTTATTTCTATTAATCATCGCGTGCAAAAGATAAAATAATAATAAAATCACAAAGAAAAAAAATTTACTATCACTTTATAAAGTTCAAATCATTGAAAAAATATGAATTAAATGTAATTATATAACAGGATCAACAATAATAGCTTCCTTACATAGAATAAAATAACCATGATAATGTATTTGTTTCGGTGTTATATCAAAATGATAATGTCCAGCTTCTCCATGATCACTAAAAAAATGTGAATGTTCTAAACGAAAACCAGCATTATTGATATCTTCAGTTAATAAAACAGATAAACAATTCAATGGTGCATGCATATCATAAAATTTTAACCATTGATCAACTTGTTCTTTTCTTATTAAATCTTCATTAACAAATTCTGGCATAACATGAGCTTTAATTATACCTTTTTCAATACGAAATATTCCTCCAAGAGCCATTGGTTGTTGTTGAGAATATTGTTTTAAACTACGTCTTATAATTGAAATAAAATTATTTTCTTCTTCATTTTCATCAGATAAACGTTCTTGAACATCAATTTCAAATAAAATTGTTGATTTCGTATGATCAATTGATGATATCATTATATGTTGAAATGGACCACATGTTTTTATTTCATATAAATTTTGATATGGTTGTTCTTCTTTTGTTACTAATGAACTATATGAACGTTGATTAATAATTTTATTATATTGATCAAAAGTCATATTGACTACAAGTTCACCATTACAACCAAGATAAGTTCCGTCAGCAGCACCAGGTCCAATAACAAGTGTTTGTTCATTTTTAATATGTAATTGATCAAGTACACTTGAAATATCAAAACGTATTGAATGACCTTGTTTTAATTCAACATTTTTTGCACCACCTATTCATTCATATATGATGATTATATCAATTAATGTATGTACAGTAAAATCTCTCATAGTGAACATCGTCATATAGTTCTATAGTGAATATTTTTTTAAAATTTCAAAGGATATTCACTTTAGAGAGATTATACTATATTTTAAATATAAAAATTTACCTAATTGACAAAAAATTCCATTTGTTCCAAGGTTTATTCCAGCTAAATTCCATGGTTCAGCAGAAAGATCGATTGTATTTGCTTCATTATTTGGTACTAATCTTATTTTAACATGTTTATAAACTTGTTTTAATTCATTTTCTATTGCTTGAATCATTGATTGTCCTTGATCTGTTGGTATAAATAATGGATAACGTAGAATACGATAATCACGATCAACATATGTTTGTTTATGTTTAGCTAAATCTAATAAACGTTGATCACGCCATAATTTTTTATCATTTAAACCAATTCCATTTTCACCTACAGGATATTTTGAACGAAAATATTTATCAACCTTTTCAATAGTTTCTTGTGTCCAATTTGATGGAAAATTCATATCAGTTAAAACACGTTGCATTGTTGAACCATATCGATTAAAATCTATTTATTTAAAAAGCACAAAGAAAATATATTAATATCTTTTTTTCGAATTAAATAAAAACAGAAAAAAAAGAATACTTTACAATCAATAATTCCTTTTGGTGCATTCAAATCAATTGTTTGAAATGGTCCCATAAATGACCATCGACATGCTAATCCATGTGTAATTGCTCGATCAACATCTTCAGGTTCAGCAATTCCATCTTGAACTAATTGAAGAGCTGATGAAAGAATAGCATATTGAAGACGATTAACAATAAAACCATCAACTTCTTTATTCAATCGAATAGGTTCCATACCAATTGAACGATATCGTTCAATAGCTAAATCAATAAAAACTTTATCTGTCCATGGTGCACCAACTATTTCAACAAGTGGAATTGTTGTTGGTGGATTTATTGGATGTCTAAATAAAAAATATTAATGAATAGAAATTTTCTTTTTTCAATAATATTAATAACTAACATACGCAACAATACAACGATTTCTTGTTTTCATTTGTTCAGTAAATTTTGATGGCATAATACATGATGATGAACTTGCAAATAAAGCATTTGATGGAATAATTTCATCAAGTAATAAATAAAGTTTTGTTTTCATTTCAACATCTTCAGGTATACATTCTTGAACATGATCAATACCTTGTTGAAATAATTCGTTTAATTTTTCTAAAGTTTCAATTGTTTGAATACGTTTTAAAATATCATCTGGTGTTTGATTAAATAATAAATTAAAACGATCAAGTTGTTCAAGTTGTAGACGAATTTCAACAAGAGCTAAACCAAGCATAGATGGAACAGTATCAAATAGATAAACTTCATATTTTGCTCGAGCAAATATTACACTCCAACATCGACCAATAAGACCCGAACCAATAATTACTACACGCATATCTACATTTACAAAAAAAAACAAACAAACGAACAATGAAATTTACATAAATAAACTACTCTATCAATATTTATTAATAGAAATATACACAAATACATATACAATATTATAAACTATAAAATTGTGCAGCATGACTCGATTGTGTTTCAATTTGTCCGATTTTAAATTGTAAACGATTAAGCCATTTGAGTAAAATAGCTAGAAAAGTTTTTTATTATACATAAATCATTTATAGTAAAATTCTAAACATTTTGTTTTTTTTGTATACATACCATACATAAATCGTAAATCACCTTGTGTTTCGGATGATGGTTGATGATTTAAACATGTTTGAAGACGAACTTGAACATGAGCTGGCAATTGACTTTGATGTGTATATAAAACAGGTACCCACATAGCAAATAACTATTGAAATAAAAAAAAAAACAAAGAAATTATTTTATTAACTATTGAAATAACATACATTAGCTAATACAATTGAATTTATTTCTTGTAATGCTTCAATTAAACTTAAAAAATGTAAATTAACCATTTCTGCAAGCTAAAAATATATAAATCAAAACAAAAAAACAACAGCAATTTTTGAATATGAAAACAAAACAAATGACGGTGAATATAAATAAAGCTTAATAAATTAGCACATGTGTAAATGTATGACATCAAAAATACCTCACGATGTTTGTTAGGACTTTCTTTATCCTGAAATTTATTATTGATTTTACATTTTCATTGGTTTTGTTTTGTTCTTATGAATTTCTTTTTTTTGTTTTTTTTATTTTTATTAAAAGAAAAAAAGAAGAATAAATCTATACATACCACTTTCGAATGTGACAATAAATGAAGTATACCCGGTGTAATTCGAGCCCAAAAATCCATTATAGATACAAGTGCTTCTGGATCATGTCCTCGATTAACTTGTTCACAATACATTGTCCATAACTTAAGTATAGAAAAGAAAATTAAAAAATTAAAAAAATAAATTTAATATTTTTACTTGACAAAGTATAAAGGAATGAAAAAGTGATGACATATGTATAACAGATGTTTTTGATTGATCAGCAAAACCAGTTAAAATATATAAAATATAATCAGCTATTGATTGACTTGCATCAACCGGTATTGGATGACATATTATTGTTCCTTCATTTCGTGTTATAGCTGCATGTGTTAATGAACCGATCATTAACCATGAAAGAAATCGTATACGATCAATACAATCAACAAAATCTTTTGCTCTAAACAATAATAACAACAAAAAAAAAATTCTTTTTTTCTATTTCTATAATAATAATACAAACCCTTGTTGTACAGAAGTAGGAGGATTATAAAGCCATGGAAGAAAACGTACAATAGCTTTTGAATCTCTTTGTCCACCTTTTGTAAATTCTAAAGCAAGATATTGTGCAAGACCAGCTTTTAATTGTCCACCTAATGTATCTTCAGTTAAATTTGATAATTGTTGTTTTTCACTTTTTTCTTTCATTGTACTCTATTGAAATAACAAAATAAGAATGAATTGGTTTTTTTTTTTTATAAATTTTTTTTTGTGGTTCTTCTAACTTTTATTTTTGTTATTGTATGAATATCAGCAATAAATGCAACTGTTTCATTAAGATAATGTTTCATACATTCAGCTCCATTTGTTGTTACCTAATTTATAAATAAAAAAAAAAAATTTATGTAGCACAATTCTATTCAGTAGAAATAAGAAAAAAAAAATTGAACATCACAGCACTAAGATCACAAACGCACAACATTATGAGGATCATATGCACGAACGTCATCGCTGACAATTGCTGATGCATGAATTGTACCACCAGCATCAAGTAAAATTAACTAAAAAAATTTATTTTGAAAAAAAAACAAAGAATAAAAACAAGAAACTAATGTTTACTTGAATCATGAGAAGTAAATTTCTATCTGGACATGGATATCGATGAAGCATAGCTTCAACAAGAACATTTACAATACATCTTGGTAATAAAAATTTTTCTCGATCCTATTTTAGAAAAGGAAAATTTAAAATTATTTTGAAAAAAAAAGAGGTTTTTTTTTCTTTTTAAATTTTTTACTCGTGTAAATGTTCGATTACTTAATGAACATAATTCAATAATATGTTCTAATTGAAATGTTCCATTTTGTAAAATAAATGTTAATAATTTTGAAAATGGATCAAGAACAAGTCGAACATTTGCTATATATGGTACTTTAAGTATATTCATCATAATACGAAGTATTGGTGTTAAATCATAATTAACTGGTGTACTTGATTTAATTGTTGTATAAACACGTGTTAATTTATCAAATAAAAAATCAAATTCAAGAAATACACTTGTCCATAATTGAATTGGTGAATCAATTGGAATATATTCCATAAATTGTGCGATATTACTAAGTAATGTTGTACAAATATCAAGAGAAAGACTTTTTTGTTTATTCATATCCTAGTCAAAAATAGAAAAAATATATATATTTAAATTTCATTTCGAAATAATATATTCACATAGGAGTGTCTCGAGCAGGGAGAAGCGTCGCGTCCGAGACTCAGCGCTAGTCATTGAATATGAAAAGCCGAAGAAAAAGTATCTTGTATCTTTTGGGCAAGTATTCAATTCCGATAACAAAATTTCATTGAGAGTATCAAAGTACAGTTCAACTAGGTCTGGGCCCAAAAAAAGCCTGGACACAACGGACTCTAGTCGGGAGGTCAACCCTCTTCCAATCTTGAGAAATTCTCATTTTCATACTCATCAATTCTTAAAAAAAAAACGCTCGATCCCCTTCCCCGTCTAGCCTTGGCGAGCTTAGAACGTCTCTATGTTCACATATCAGAAAGATAGAGATGTCAGAGATGTGATAGGAAATTTTCGAAAACACAAAAAAAAAAAAATTTACATTCAGAAGCCATTTAAGTGCAATAATGGAATTAAACTCTGGAAAATCATTCAATGATAATGCTATCGTATGTAACAATTTATCATCTAGAAGAAAAAAAAAAAAAACATTTTCTCAACCGAAATTTTATTTCTATATAGAAAATAAACCTCGAAAATTTTGTTGAAAAAATTGATAACAAATATTATTTGCAGCTAATTGTTGAAATGTACAACGAATAAATTGTTGTGCAATACTTCTTGAATTAGCTGGCGCAACAACAGTTGAATTTTCTTGCCATGTATATATATGAGATGCAGCAACTCTTCCAATTGTTTCAATCATATCCATAAGTAATGGTGCTGCTATAGCTGGTTCACGATGAACAAGTGCTCCACATACAATTGTACAATAACCAATACATTCTTCATTATAATATTCAATAGGTTGTCCACATTTATCACATTTAGGTACAGTTATTAATTGATTATGTAAATCTGTATCAGCATATGGATTATCTAATTCATCATTTGTTGCTGTTGCTGATCGTTTAGCATTTGATGATGTTATACCAACAGTTTTCAATTGACCTTGTGATGATGATGTACGTGTTGGACGACTAAATAGATATACAAAATTAATAAATAATATAAATAAAAAAAAATGATAATAATTATATTAACCTTAATGTCGGTGATCGAACATTTGAATCATCTTTATATTTAGCTTTTTTACCATGATAACTTGGTTTTAATTTTCCACCAGTTGCTGTATTACCTAGACTAGCTAATGTTGATGATGATAATGATGTTATTTTAGGAGTTTTTGGAGGACTTTCTTCTGTAAATAAAAAAAAACACAAATCAATAATTTATGAATTTTGTTTTTTTTTATTCTTAATTCAAAATTAACCTTTAATTCCACCAGTACCAGGTTTAAGTAAAACAGTTTCAAGTTTACCACGTTCAGCTGAATAAATAACACGTGAAAGTTCTTTGACTCCTATGAAATATTTATTTTTATCAAATTTATTTTTTTTTTAATCTAATTTCATATAAATAAATTCTTACCTTTAATACCTTTCACATCAAGTTCAGTTAATTTTTCTGCTGGAACCATTGATGATAATGATGTTGTTATTCCAGCTGATGCATTTGGATTAGTACCAGTTGTACTTGTTGTTGCACTACTAGTAAAAAGACTTTTTAAAAATTCTGTATATGATCGACCACTTGAAGTAATTTGATCATCTGTTTGTCTTATTGTTAATGGTTCATCAAAACATTCTATTTCAGGTTTATATAATCTATTTTAAATCAAGTTTAAAAAAAAAATGTTTTTTTATTATTCTAAATCTTAAATTTTGAATGTTTTACTTTGGTTTAACTTTTTTTGGTGGTGATAATAATCTAAAACGTTTATGTTCAGCAATACTTGCTGATTCAGATTGTGTATCACCTTCTAAATCATATCGAATACCTAATTCATTTAATTCTACTTCACGTATATCATCAAATGGTCGTGATGATCCTAAAATTAAATTGAATAAAAAATAAATAAATTTATTTTTTTTCTAAATTAATTTATCAAACAAAAAACAATTGTTACCTCTTCTTGATCCAGCTACTTTCGGTGTAAGTCTTCCACTATGACCACCAGCAGCTGTACCAAATGATGGTGTTTCACATTGATGATAATGACTAAGAATTGTATTCATTGCAATACGAGTTAAATGTTGAATTGTTATAGCATATGATGTATATTGATACTAAATTTTGAAAATAATAATTATTTTATTTTTGTTTTGTAAAATAAAACAAAAAAGAATATTTTACTTTATATAAAATAATAATAAGAGTCATTAACCATGAATTACGTAAACTAGGATCAATTCTTCCTAAAGTATTTGATGCTGATATATGATCATAAAATTGCATTGTTGCATTTGCACATGTAGAAAATTGAAGAAATGAGAGAAAAAATTGTAAAAGAATAGTTCCAAGATTAAAATTATAATCAAGAACTTTTGGTAAATTTGATATAAATGCATGAAAAACGGGACTTCGTCTAAAAAAACAAAAATAAATTCAAATAATTATTTAAACAACAAAAGAAAAAAATAACACACCGAATTTTGCTTGGTAATGTAGCAAATGTTCGATTTGTTTGAGTATAACCAAGTAAAGAACATATATGTCGAATAACAACATTCTAAGAAAAATAAAAAAAATTATTATTTTAATAAACAATTAATTAGATTCTCTTTTTTTTCTTCTTTACTTGTTGTTTAAGCATAATTCGATCTTCATTAACTTGACTTTGATCATCTTTCATCATAAACTAAAAACAAAATATTTTCTTTATTTAAAATTTTAATAAAAAACAAAAAAAAAAAATCATTTACTTTCGTAAGTAAATTAACCAATAATTGTAATGTTGATTTATCACTATTTTCAAGATCAGGTGAAAGAAAACTTCCTATAGAATCTGTTTCAATTTTTTCATTGACAATAATTGGTTGTCGGGAATTTGCAACTGTTGTTCGTCGTGAATGTGAAACAAAACGTAATGATGATGATATTGGTCGAATTGAATCTGTTCTTGCCATAGCAAAACGTATTTGATTTAATTTTCGAATAAAATGTTCACTTTCTGTATTAAAACCACCAATACTTTGTGGACTTATTAATTCACCTGATTCTTCCATATTTATTTGAGATTCAATTGATAATGTATCAAAACGATTAAGAAAATATTCCCAACTTAAAATTTTTACTGTTGAATTATTTCGTAATAATATTGTATAAAGTTTTGATAAACGATGTAATATTATTGAACGATCATTTATAACAGTATCAAATTGAAATTCAAGTGCACACATTACACTTTTAAATGATGCATCACCTAAGGTTTCTAATGAACACATAGCTTTTTGACTAACAGTAGGTTCAACATCTTCAATTGATGTTATTAAATTAAGAAAAGCATAAGCAAGTACAGAAAGAACATTATAATTATTTTTGATTAATTTTGGTTTAAGAAGTGAAAAAAGTGCAATGACACGTGTACCTAAACACAAAGAAGAAAAATTATTATTATTTTATTCTCGTCTTGTCTTTCGTTATTTTTTAATCTATATGCAAAAAAAAAACATGTAAACTTACCAGCTGATGAACGAACTTTCCAATGTGTACTTGAAAAATCTCGTTCAAGTATATTCCATAAAGCAGTTTTTCCAGGTTCATAGTTAAGTGCATGAAGAAGTAATGGTATACAACCTTCATTTAAATGACCATGTCCTAATGCAAGAATTTTCCAAATACTAAATTAAAAAAAGTAAGAAAAAAAAAACAGTTTTTTTTTTTATTATAAAATAAGAAAATCAAAGTAAAATTAACTTACTGTGGAACAAGTAATTTTTCAAGACAATACGAAAGAAAACCTCGATTATCTTTTGCTGCTGTTTCTAAACATTCATCATTTAAAATTAATAATTTTAAACAACATAATAAATAATAAAGTGCATCAATATCAATCACTCGATCTAATTCCTAAAAATTTAAAAAGACAAAAAATAATTTTAAATTTTCTTCTTCTTTTTTTGTTCTTTACTTTGAGAATAGAATAAAAAAATTGTAAATGAATATGAAGTGTATTAAGTTTAAAATAGAAAACACCCTGTGATGTTATCCATATTCCACCATCAGGATTATTTTCAACTTTAAGTTCAGGTGTAGTTGTTGTCGGTGCTGTTGTTGTATTAACATTGCCGCCAGTAGTTTCATCTTCATTATTTAATGATGTAGATGATGATGATGAACTTTGATTATCACCACCCGATGACATTTCAATACCTAGAAAGAAATATTTTAATATCTCATATGTCAACAATCGAAAAAAGGATGATCAAGGTATTATGATGAAACTATTTTATTCTTTTTGAAGTTTTTCATAGTTCATTGCGATCTATCTTATGCAACTCAAAAAAATTCGTTCATGAGTTATGTGTATCATTTGATTTATCTTACTAAATTTTGGTCTAGTTGTTGATTTAGTTGACGGAACTACTGTTTGTTGTTGTTGTTGTTGTTGTAATTGTTGCTGTTGTTGTTGTTGTTTAAGTTGTTGTTGTTTAAGGTCATTAAGATTTGGTAATTCAAGTTCCGGTAATTTAATTTCATCACGTGGTGATATATATTTAAGTATATCTTGTGCTATTGAAAACCATAAAATATATTCTTCACAAAATGAACATTGACTTGCTGATGTACGACAACGATGACGACGTGTCCATGGTAATATTAATTGTTTAGTCATTAATGATAAAATTTCTTTTGATAATGGATTATACATTCCTTGATGTTGTGGTGTTTGTTGAAGTTCCATCTAATAAAAATAAATAAATAAACAATCGATAGAAAAAGATTAACAAAAAACAAAACAAAACTTTACTTGTTTTAAAGTCATATCAATCATCATAATACAACATGTTGAATTAATTTCACTTTCATTAATAATAAATTCTTCTTCTTCTTCTTTTATAATTGATACCATTTCTTGTCCAGTCATTTGTTGTAACATTAATTGATGACGATGTGCACGATATGTTTCATATGTATCAAAAACAAGAAATTTATTTGTTGATGATGATGTTGACATTGTTGTTAAACCAGCTATACCACTTGTTGGATTTGGAATATTTCCATCATCTTGTGATAACATCATTAAATTTAAACCATTATCAATTGATTGTTCATTTGATGATGAACCAGTCATTGTATAATGTTCACGACGTTGAGCACGTGATTCAAGTTTTTGTAAAGAATTTGTACCAGTAATAAATATTTGTACAAGTAATGGAACTGGAATATAAATATCAATTAAACATAAAATTTGTAACCATTGTAAAGCTTGTTCTTGAACACTAGCTGGTGCAGGTGATTGAAAACGATCAGTTATAAAATGATATAATTGATCACGAGTTAATGATGATGGTGACATATCAGGATCTGGATCAAACATTTTTCTATATTCAAAGAAAATATTATAAAAATCTTTTAAAGTAATAAACAAAAAACAAAATAATTACCGAAAGAGTAAATTTAAATCAGATAAATCACTTTCTGGTACTTCTGATCGAATTGCTTCCATCCAATAAGGCATTATATAATCCCAAATCTATAGAAAAAAACAAATTCATTATTAAACTGAAATTTTTCAATGAATCAATTATGAAATCGAAACATTCATTGCTTGCTTTCTCCCATTTGCTGATTACAAAATTTTTTAAAAGAATACCTGAAATTTGTTTTCTATGTCGTAAAAGAAATCGAATTTCAAATCAATTTAATCTTCGAGTATTAATAAACATAACAAAAATTTTTTTCATAAGATATATTATTAGTGTATTTATGAGTACTCAGAATTTTCTAATCGATCGATAGGAGATCATTTAATAATGTAGACCTAAACGAGTTTTGAATATCCTAAAAAGAGTTTAGACTCTTAGGTTATTGTTGTGTAGATACTACAGATTTACGGTAGTTTTTAAATAAATGCCGTAAAAGAGCAATATCTCTATAATGATAAGCTAAGGATCTGAACTGTTTTCAGGATATTCATAACTCATTTGATTCGAAGGAAATTATTAAACTTACTTCATATGTAGTTATTCCATCTGGCATTAAATCATATAATTTATTAAGACATTCAGTAATTTGTGCTGTACGATTCGCCATTGTTTCCCTAAAAATATATTTAGTAATTTTCAAAACTTTTTTGTTTTTTTTATAAAACGATTGTTTCTTTATTTCTTACCAAACACCACCAACTTTTGCATATTCAACTGGATGTGGAAGAAGTAAAGCAATGACTAATTCATGATGTTCTTTAACAACTGATTTAAGCCATGGTATAACATACTAATGAAATAAATAAATCAAATACAATATAAATTCTTTTATTTTTTTTTCATCTTACTTCAGATTTTAATTTGCCTAAAACACTTCCAATTTCATTTCCTGGTAAACGAACAGTTGAATGAAACCATAGAAATAACATACTTAAAATACGTCCAAATATTTCCTAAATAAAACGAGAACATAAATAAGAAAAAAAACAAAATAAGAAAAACATTTTCTCATACAGGTGGTCCATATGATGTTGGTTCAATAAGACCTAATATTAAATAAATTCCATATCGACTTAATAATTTTCTTCCAACATCAATATCCAAACTTAAAAACATATTTGCTGTATTATCAATATTTTCAACTAAAATAGATTTTTTTTCATCACTCATTGAATCAACAATACGTTTTTCTTCATTATTATCTGTTTCACGTAAAAGACTAATTATAGCTTCAACACAATGATTTTGTACATCAGGTGATAAACGCCACATATCAATTAATGTTTCTTGATAAACATGATTTGAATCAATATGTCGTCTTTCATGACATTGACGACATAAACTTATTGGATGATTACCATTTGATAAACAACATTCAATTGAATAACAAGCGGCATGAGTTAATTTTTTTTCTGATATACATAACTAAAGAAAAAATAAAGATAGAATAAAAATAAAAGAAAATTATCATTTTTTTTTTCTACTTTATTTTGACAATGTAAAGCAATTTCTGATACAGGACAAAGAATATTACGACAATATTGTTGAATTTCTTTTGGACAACTTTTATAACAATCAGTACACATATAATATGGTGGTGGAGTAGATTCACCATGTTTTGATAAAAGAATATCAACACAAACTTTTGATGCAATATTTTGTCGATGTACACATCGTTCTGCTTGACATATTATTGGTTTTCGAGCTAAATTTATTGCATTAAATTTTTTATTATAATACTAAAAAAAAACCATGCTTACGAAGAAATTTAAAATGTATTGAACGTCGATCAATTCCAGTCGAATTAAGCATAGGCCAATAGAAAAAAAGTAAATTCGATGCAACAGCTCTTGCTGATGCAGAGCCATATGCAATAACAAAGAGAACATCCTATTAATTAAATTAAGACTTTTTATTATAAAAAAAAACATTCATATTATTATAATGAACATGCATTAAAAAGACAATATTTATATAACACAATTCTTAAAGTAGAAAATGATTGGTGTCTTTATACTTGATAAGAGACCTTTTATCTAGATCACTTAAGGCACATTCTAGAGATATTTTTAACTCATGCCCATAAAGATATATATATATATATATGATTAATTTATGAATGTAGAGATAGAAAACTTCATTTCTGATATTCGATAAGATTATTAATATGTCTATCAGTTAACATTTTTTTGAAATTATACTCTCTCAAGGACAAAAATAAGTTCCTTTTCCCTATTTTCTTGTATAATTATATGTATATATTATATTTTATTTACAAGTTATTTTGTATTTATTTGAAAATAACCCATTTTGATGGTATTAAGAGAACACATGCACAACAATGCAAAAAAAAATATTCAATTTAATCGTAGTCAGTCTTAGAGTGAAGTTATGCTTAAACATATCTTTTATGAAAGTCGATTCACAAATGATCACTCATTCTGTTACCAATTATCGATGATGACACAGTTCTGAACCGAAGCAGCAATATCACTCAAATTTCTCAAGCTATCTATACAGACACATACTTATCGTACACCACATCATTGTACATGATAATAACAAGGCTGGTACTACATGCATGCAGAGTTCGAATAGTCGAACGACAAGAGTTTTGAGTGAGACTATCGCCTTGGTACAGAGTTGCGTAGTTTATCGGTTATAGAAAATAATCGCCTTTCAAAAAAGACATGTTTAGGCTTAACCTCATAGTTATAGAATATTTTTCTTCTTTACATTATTTTTTATGTTCTCTTGATACCCATAAAAATGGATCATTTTTGAAATAAATCCAAAATAACATGTACATACAAATGTATATATAATAATTCAAAAGAAAGAAAAAAAAATTCAATCATTGATATTTCAGTTGAAAAGTAAAAATAAACAAATATCTTTTCTCTCTCTGAATTGTTTGGTAATAAAGCAATGATTTCAATCGATAATTATTAATAACGATGTGAACTTTCATTACATAGGAGTCACTCAAATTAAACAAACAGTATCCATCTAAATGCAATCTGAAAATCTTAATAAGTTCTGAATGTTTAATTACATATGAAACTGATAATCGAGATGATTTATTTTCTTTTTTTATAGTTCTAACCATGCTTCATTTCCTTATCTTTCTTGCATTCCATCAAAAGCCCATAAATATATACATAAAAGCATACACACACACAATAGCATCGTGCGATGCGAATACAACAAAAAAAAATACACTTGACATATCTATTATGAAAAACTCACATAAATTAAATCCGCTTTTAAACTCAATAAACATTCCATAATTTGAGCAGGATAATCTGTAAATTAATAATTATTTTTTTTTTAAATTTTATCTCATCAACTTATTTCTTCTTTTCTTTTCGTTTTTGTTATTAATAAAACAAAATTTTTACTTACTATCGCTTTCACTATTTTCAAAAACAATAAAAAGAATTGATGCTATGGAATTTAATGTCATTGAATGTTCTGGATATTCTGTATAAGCTAAAACAAAAAAAAAAAAGAAAATTATCAAAATTAAAATATAAAAAAAACAATCTTTTTTTTTTTAAATTCTATTTCATACCCATATTAATAGGTAAAAGTGTATTACATAATGTATCAAGTATTTTCTTTTTAACAGAAGATGGAAATATAGTTAATGTTGTTGCAAATGTATATGGTAATGCATCAAGTAATTCATAAGGTAAAAATGGTGCTAAACAACCAAGTGTATTTATAATTGATTCTGCTACTTCAGCATCACCAACTTGCAATAATGGTACAACATCAATAAGATTAATTAATGAATGATAAAGTGATGAATAATTTAATGTTGGATATTTACTAATACGATATGAATGTTTACCACTTGTTTGTTCTTGATTTTGATCAATTGTCATTTCTTTTAATACACTAGAAGAATAGGAAATTTTATTTAATTATAATCATTATCTTTTGGTTTTTTGTTTTTACCTAAGAAGAGTTTTAGAAAAATGATCAAGAACAGATACAATATCATTTGTAGTCGGTAATGGTGTTACACCTGTAAGTATATTATTATAATAATCATTAAGAGTTCGAATTTTTGATGAAACTAAATAAAATATATATATATATATATATATAAACATAAGAAATCTAATTATTTTAATGTTATATATATACTTACATGCAGCTGCACGAGTCGCCATTTGATCTACAAAAGATAAGAATTAATTAGTTGCAAGAAAACATATTAAAAAGAAAAGATTATTTTTTGATAACCTTTCTCAAACACAAAGAAAAAAAAGAATCAACAATAGAAGAAAAAAAAACAAGCTAAATAATAGACAGAAGAACCATTCAACACGATCGATCGATTCTCTTAGGACCTCGTACTATTCAAACACAATGTCGCTAAAAGTTATGGAAATGTTCATTTCCAAGTAGCGCCAATTGCTAATTTTATATGAATTTATTCAGATTGGTTTATATTTTTAGCCAACTCCTTTAGAGGTCAATAAACCTACTACTTACTCGGTAAATGTGATGAAATTAAAGACGCTTTTCAAAAGTTAAATCAAGGAGAGATTTAAAATAAAGATTTATTTTGTATTGATTAAAGAAACATATATTATTATTATATAATATGGCCACCGCATCATCAAGATCAGCGACTGTGGCCGAATTACGTCGAATGTTTTCCAACTTAGATTCAACTGTAATCGAAAGTGTTTTGGCAGCTAATAATGGTCAAGTTGATATAACAATTGATCATTTACTTACAATGTCAATTGATACTGAAAATGAAAATAATATTCAACAAGTATAAAAATTAATTCTATTTATTTAATTTTACATTTAAATATTTTAGGTAACACCAACAACACCACTTCGACAATTACCAGCTGTTCCTAATATATATGATGATGATCCACCACCTTGTAAATTAATTCTTTTTCGTTTTATTAGTATGAATAACTTTTATTCTTCATTGTAGATCCTGGTCACGATGCACTAGCTAATCAACGTTCAACAACAATGCCTTTTCTTCCACAACGTTCATCATCTAATGGTCAATCATCAATAAACTATAATCAATCAGACAATACGCATTTTTCAAAAGAGTATATAGCAAATATTCTTTCTATCTTTTTTTTTTTTGTATTACGCTGTTTTCTTAGTACAAATTTACAGCAAGAACTTCAAGTACGAAAATGGAAAACAGCTTATGATCAATATCGTACTTGTTATATTGGAGATTTGCCTAATGATTTTCTTCGAGTAAAATTATTATCAAAATTTGAAATTACAAATCAATCAAAAGTATAAAAAATTATTTCTTGTTTTTAATATTTTAATAATTTTCATTTTGAAAAAAAAAACAAAAGGACGATATGTTTGGAGAAAATGGCAAAACATTACGATATGCTGATGATGAACATTTTGATGAACTTTTTCAAAACGAAGATTTCTTAAATGAACTTCGACATAACAAAGATTTTTTAACAACTCTTCATTCAGGTTTAATTTTACATTATTTTGATTTTATAAACAAACAAACAAAATAAATATTTAGATCAACCGATTCAATCAACATCATCATCTCAACAACGTCGATCATTTAGTTATTTAAGTACAAAACCATTACCATTACCAACACCTCCCACTATTGAAACACTTAAAACACCAAAAGTCCGTGCAAGAATGCTTCAAAATGTTCTTACACAAATTGAACAAGGACAAACAAAGAAAAGTAAAAAAAAAAAAAAAAAGAAAATAATATCTTAATTAATCAACTGTTTTTTTTTATTTCCTAATATTAGCATCAATGGTTCCAGAAGAATCTATTACTCAAAATGAAAGCTATTCTTATGGAAAAGGTATTTTTGAAGAAAAATCAGTAAATTATTTTTTTTTTTTGGATTTTTCTTGTCTAAAGATAATCATGAACCAATTCCAATTCCACCTGCACCAAATGTTAGTGAATTTGATCCATTACGACTAGAAAGTAATGAAGAATTTATTAGTCGATTAAAAAATATGGGAAAAAGTAACAAATTACATATGTAATCATGTTTAGAAAATCTTTTTCTTTTTGTTTTTCTAAAGATTCAATGGAAAAATTTAATCAATTAGCTCGACGATTTTCTATGCGTAAAGATACAACAACAAATACTGGAAAATATTCTAAACAATCAATGTAAGTTCATTTCTCATGTAAACAATGTTATTAACTGTATATTGATAAAAATCAATAAAATTATATTTCGACAAACATCATAGAGAATGTCACTATAGATAACCAATCAATTCAATCTCATGTTGATGTGACTTTTGCACTAATAAAAAAACTGAATGCAAATGTTTACTTGCATAAAATTTTATCGAAGTATTAAAACTGGAGATAGATAGATAGCTATCGATTTTCGTTTATTTAGAATAGATAAGCTACGGATAATGTAAACTTTGTATTACTCAATGAAAGAATTCAGTAAAAAAAAAAGTACAGGTATAAATGTTACCAGAAAAGAACATGATAAAAAAAGTTTTGATAAAGCGATTATAAAGATAACAAAGAAAGTTGAATAATTATTTGTGTATCGTTGACTTCTATACTATTGGAAAAACATATTTTTGAAGCAAAATCTCGAACAACAACTTTGGATTAGTAGTACGTATTTGTTGTTTGTTCAACTTACCCAACATTCTATTTAATCTTCAGTGCAATTCTAAATCATAAATTAATTTTTATTGTTATTAAATTTTGTAATTTTAGAACAAAAAAATGATCATATGATATTTCATTTATTTAGGATGACAGACACATTCGAATGACAACATGTAACAAATGAATTCGACAGTGATGATGATCTTATTTTATTGAACAAAAATAATCTCGTTTGTTATTTGTTTTGTTTCTTAATAAATATTATATTTATTTATATTCATTTTAGGATCGATATGTTATTTCCGTCTAATAGTTTACCTCAATTTAATTCTTCTCTGTTTTTTTTTTCTCTCATGTTCTAAACACAACTAACAATAGCGTCCTATATATATATTTTCTTTTTATGGATATATTCTCATCTATTTTTTATTCTAGACTCAGGTTATGATAACCTCTTTTTAATTTTCTGTTTATAATTCGAATTTCCTTCATTAGTTTCGCTTAATTTAACGAGGAAAATGAATTCACATTAAGAAAAATAAAAAATTTCTTTTTCTTATGTTTTCTTTTTTGATTTTTTTTTTTGTCTGTGTATGCGTAAGTCAGATTGTAAGATGAACAGTTAAAGGAAATGAAAATCAGAAAAAAAACTTATTCGAGCTCATTTTCTTTTTTGTCGTGTTAGTAATTAAGATCTCTTACTTTTAGTTTTTTTTTAATGTTGTGCATTAATGAATTGTCGCAAAAGGCTTTTGTAGAAGAAAAAGAAAAGAAAGCGTAATTTTATGTATTACCAAGTTTATCTTTTTTTGTTTTTTTTTTTTAATCTACGAATAAAATAAAAATCAATGCTTATGAAATAAACAATAAATATCATTTTTATAGATATTAATTAGAAAAGACACGAAAAATGTATGGTTGTTATTTGACATCTGATGATGATAAATTTCTTGATTTAATTACTGATGAATTAGACAAATACAATCTATTGAATGATTCGTCCTTGTGTGTGTTCATATTTTTATTTTTTTTTTGATATTATTTAATGATAGTATTAAAATTTAATTATTATTTATTTCTTTTACAGTATTCTTCTTTTTCCACCTTTATCATCACGACATCGATTATTATTACATCGTCTTCGTGAGAAAAATTATTCTAATCTATTTAGTTTTTCTATCGGTGAAGAAAAAACTACTCGTCGAACAATAATTTGTTTGAAATCACAAGTTATGGATGAAATAAATATGTAAGAATACTTAGACATTTTTTTAGTTCTCTGGAAACAAAAAAAGTTGACTTCATTGATATGAGTCACTCTGTTAATATAAAAATTCAAAATAGATCAATATAAATCTTGTCGATTTTCGATTAATATTATCAACATTATACTTGAACATACTAAATTAATTCTTTGAGTATGAACGACATGAACTCGTAGCCTAGGATTTGCAACTATGAAGAGATCTAAGTGAAGGAAAAGATACTTATGAATATATGAAATGAGATATGAGATTATGTATTGTAGTTTTTTTTTTTCGTAGACTATCGCGTTCTGCAACCATTTTGAACTGTATATTTCATTATGAACTTAATTATAAGTTAACCCATTGATTATCAACGGTACATATTGAAATTAATTCAATCACTTATAGCGTACGATTATTACATTCATCTGAGTTAATGTCAACATCAAGCAATAGGAACTTTCTACATCATCATTTTTGTTACGACTCATGTTAAACTCATGCAGTAAGAAAAATAAGTGTACGCGGTGTACAACCACTCTTTTTTCATGTATGTTTATCTTTTGTCGGTAATCAATGGATTAAACATTTGTTTCGAATTTTGAAAGTTTTCATTGCCTTTATTTAAAAAAATAATCTCGTACTTAAAAAGTTAATCAATTGCGCAATTTTCAATCGATTGATCTTCTTTATCTATTAAGATTTCAGCTATAAATATGCTTTCATAAATCAATAAATTACTGAATAGATTTACTCTTTTACTTTTTTTCTTGAGGTAAAAATGCTTCTGTTGAGATGATGTAGAAGATCGTACAAGAAAGCAAACCAAACTATTTGATCAAATCGGTTTTTCTTAATCTATAGTCTCTTGAATATTTTATTTAGATAAACACATCGATGAAATGACATTAAGTTCAAAAGAGACATTTTAAACTCAATATTAGAAATGAATATGCTTTGTCATCGGATACTCTGTTTCAGAAAAAAATATTTCGAGTTCAAATTGCTTCTATACAAAGAGAAATTGAATTCAATGGGCTCGAACGCTTTTTCTTAAATATCTCAATTTACCCATAATATTATTTCATTTTCATCATTTCAGAACACCATCAACCACAACGCTAGTCCCTTCAAACGGTGAATCTTCAACGAAGTATGTGTTTGTCTTGGTTTTGAATAATAAAAAGTTATTTATTATTTTAGACGTCGTCCAGATCAAGCTTTATATAAGCCACCACGTCGAAATAAAAATTCCGAGAATTCTAGTCCGATTGCTACACCACCACCAGCACCGCCGCCATCGACGACGTCACCTGAAGAAGTTCAACAAAATAATAGTACAACTAAGTCGACGAAAAGTAAAACAGCTCGTCCATCAGCTGAACCTTATGTTCCACCGTCCAGACGTAGTCAACTGGTGAACAAAGAACTACTTTCACCTTTATCTTCATCTGCATCATTCACTCCTGAAAATAAAAAAGAAGATGGTGAAGTGGAGGAAGAAGAAGAAGAAGAAGAAGAGGAATGGGAAAAAATATTAGATAGTAATGAAAATCCTCTATATAATGACTCTGTTGAAGAAGTAAAACTTGAAAAAAATTCTTTTTCTTTAATTTCAAAAAAAAATGTTTTGTTTTGTTTTGTTCTTAAGATTCAAACAAAATTCAAAGAAAGTGTTCAGATAAAAAAACCAACAAATGACTATTCTCAATGGTCAGTCGATGATATACAAATAAAAGAAGCTGATTTAGCTCATGTAGTTGAAGTATCAAATTTTCCATCAACATTTCGTAGTGAAGATCTTTCAAATGCATTCAAAACACTTACGTATAAATTATTATATATGCAATATTTCAAATATATATCTTATTTTATTTATAATTATAAATAGTCGAAGTATATTCGATATAAAATGGGTTGATGAAACACATGCTCTGATCGTTTTTCCAGATGCTAATATGGGTAAATAAAAAATTATTTCATTTACAGTAGTGGACAATAGGCTCTGTGTCTCAGACGATCTTGCCCGCTGTATGTGCTGGAAGTCTAAAAATTTGTATACATGTACTTTACCAAGAATGTAGATCATTGGCATTGTGACGTCATTATAAGAGAGTTATGATGAACGACATCTGTTTTTCTGCTCTGGGCATTATAACCTAAAAACAAAGACTGCCAACAAAATTTTTCATTGTTTCTTATATTTTCATATGTAGCTGCAATCTCGTTTACGATCATGCTTCATTTAAAAGATAAGTTTATTTACTTGAATATTGATGTTTTTTGGGTCTTTGGAACTAGCAAGATTATCATCTATGTTCTATTTTACTTTAATTCAAGATTTGCTTCTGAAACTTATAAGTAATAATATTTAACTGTAGCGGAAGTTTCTTAAAAAGTTTGAACTATCAGAGTAGATGATCTCTCTCTCTCTCTCTACAATAATGAGCATAGTCTTTGAAAGGATTAACGAACTTCAATGAAAATAATAATATAGATAGCTGAGACATAGAATTACGTATTGAGGAGTCGACTGATACAAAATATTCTTTCTTTCCAGAGTTATGAGACTGATAACAAAAACAAGTCCATTCATCATAACTTCCTTTGTAATTAAGCAATAACAGTGCTGCAGTTTCGATGACCTATATACGCTCTTGGTGAAGTGCATGTATTAAATAAATATTAAGGATAATTTAGCTTTGGATGCGCTTCAAATGGAACATCCTCTGTTAAAAGTTTGTTCGATGTCTCAAGCATCATCTGCATCGAAGAAAAAAGCAAAAAATTCACTTGGTATATCATATATTATTTATCTTCTTTTTTAATTAATATATATATATATATATATTTTTCTTTTTTTATTATTCTGATGGTATATAGAATTTCTTCAACCGTATAAAACTCGACCGCAAACATCATCATTAACAGCTAATCGTCGTATATGTGCTGCATTGGGTTTAAAAAATCCGATGAGTAGTGATAAAACTAAAACTGAACGACAAAAAATTGAAACAGCTAGACGTAAATATATATATAATTATGTTTATTTTTATTTTTAAATAAGAAAAAAATTAAATGCTTATTTCTTTTTTTGTCTAGAACAAAAAATTCGTGACAAAGAAGAACAAAAAACAGTTTGGGATGGTGGTATTTTATCTGCTACATCAACAACATAATTTTTTTGTTTTTTAATATTTATTTAATATTTTTTTTTTTGTATCTAATCTAAAATTTTGTCACAATATATGTTTGATTATTTCGTTTGTGTTTTTGTCTCGTTTGTTTTTTCATTCAGATTTTTGTCTATTATACTATCATATTCTTATTGGTGAGAAAATAAAACAAAACAAGAATGTAACTACATTGAATTTCTAGATTTTATCAATGTCATCTCAAGTTTCAACTGAATCAATTATTAAACAATTATGTTCAGGAATATTATCCGGTGGTACTATTGGAATATTTATAAGTAAAGGTCAATATGTTCTTTCATATTTAGCATTTACTTCACTTGGTTTAATTGATATTGCATATCATTTGAATTATTTAAAAGCACATATAACACATTTAACTTATAATCAATTAACAACTCGTAGAGATATTAGATCAAGATTTAATGATTTACAACGAAATATACACAGAGATTTGCGTGATCCACGTAATGATTTCAATCAAGAATTAGAATGGTTATGGAGTGATATAAAAAGACATATTGATGGACATATTTATTTTGGAATGGGTTTTACAATAGCATTTTTATTGAGTGTTGTTCTTGTACCAAAAAATCATCGCTAAAAATGTTGTTTTTTTTTTGAAATCATTATTAGCACATGTGTTGCACCATTAGAACTATTGATCTATTTTTTTTATATTGCTATAAAACGTGCTTCTAGAAAGATCAACATATTGTGTGAATGGATAGAAATTATTTGCTACATATTCTATGCAATAAAATTAATCAATAAATAGGTTATTATGTCACTATAAATGATTTTCATTTTATTTTCAATATATATTAGTTTTCATATGGAGTTATATATTAAAAGAAAAAATTCTTACATCTATATAGTATTTACTGATCCTTAAAAAATTTGATAGTAAACGGAAGTATAAAGATGTTTAATAGACAAATGTTTATTTGATCTATGTTGTGTGTGTGTGTGTGTTTTTTTCAGATAGATATGGAATATAATCATGTTGAACATGGTGACGTACTTGTCAGTGGAAATTTACTAAATAGTTTTGTTGATTTACATCGATCACAACTTGAATTATCTGGTGTACCTCAATTATTCTATCCTACTCTATTTGATAAACTTAAAAAGCAGGTTAATTAATAATCAGAAAAAAAAACATGTATGATTAATCTAATTTATTTGAATAATAGATTTTTGATGCTGGTGACTATTTTGGTATAACTGAAGTGGAAAATGATGAAGGTGAAACTGTTCAACGTAGAGTATGTGTAACTAGTGAACATAATCTACTCAAAGATGATCCTTCAATGTTAGTTAAAACGATATCTTTTATTGAAATATCGTATTTTTTCTTTCTTTTTTTTTTTGTTACAGGATCTTTCTTATTGATCATGCATATACTTATCGAATAAATAATATTCGAAATGAACTTGAACAATTACCTGACTTAGTCGAACGACTTTCTCGATTAATGTTAATATCATCAGATGAAGAAAATAAAATTAATGCTATTATTGAACATATGTGGAAATTTAATCATACATATACATTAGCTACTAATGAAGGTAATGCTGAAGATCGTGAACCTTATTGGTATATTCGAGATGAATTTGGTTCGGCTATTGAACATTCTGATCAAGCTAATGTTCGATTGGTACCTTTTCTTTCAATGATTGATGGACAAATGTATACATTATTATGGCTTATTAAAGATATTAAATGTAATGGTATGTAACTAAGAAGAATATTTTTCGATAAAATAATTTAGAGAGAAAGATTATATATATATATATATGCAAAGTTGAGAAAAATTAAGGGATGCATCGAAAGTTTCTAGAAAAAATATTTGACTATCTGTCGTGTATTTAAATGCATTGAAACAAGAATGAGAAGTAGTGTATTAGAATTAGAATTTTGTACTCTTTTAGAATATATACTTAGAATTTGTCGGTGACTTTTGACTATTGAACTATAAATGAATCTTGAAAAGACTTTAAAATTTGTTATTGGAGGTAAATACTTCGAATAAAACTTGTTCCAGATGTGTCACAATATTTAATCAAATATATCAGAAGATACAAAAAATAATTCCCTACAGAATGGTATATTTGAATAAAATTTTTTGCAAAGATACAGCAAAGACTTTTATAAAGTCTATCGTGAGAAAAATGACCTTCTGTCATTTTTTAGCAGATTAACCAAAACTTTCCATTCTTGTGTGGTTTTATAGAGCAGAGATCATCTTGAAGGTACAATATACTTACAGAACTTATTTGATGTAGACTTGTCTTCAGAAAATATTTTTAGTTCTATCAAGATTTACTTATAAGTCAATATTCAAAAGTCAGACCGAAAAATTTCAAGCATATATTCTAAAAGAGCGCAAAATTCTACTTCTAATACACAAGTTTTCACTCTTTTTAAATGCATTTAAATACACGAAAAACGATCAAATATTTTGTTTAGAAACTTTTGACTCAATTTTTATTTATTGTTTTTTTTTCTATAAAATGATATAATGTATAAATCATATTTTTCTGAAATATTTTTAGAATCAGTTACTGTTGATTATGTCTGTGGAATACATGATGAAGTAATACGACGTGCTAAACTTGTTCCTTGGACTGAAGATGATCTATCAGGAGATATTGATTATCAACAAACAGAACCAAATGAACAATATTTTAATGTATTTTTATATTTATTTTCCATTTATTGAATCATATTATTGTTAATTTTGTTTTTTAAATATTACATAGACAGGACGAGAAAATGAAAGTCTTCCATCATCTGATAATTATCCTAGAATTGATTTAACTAAACTCAATCGAACAATTAATGTCTATACTGATATTGAACTTGTTCGTAATCATTTAATTGATAAACGTTTTCAATTAGTTGAAGATTTATCTCAAGCCGATATTATTTTTACAAGAAAACATTTTAAAGATTTTAAGTAAATAAAAAAAAAAAAGTAATATTTGATTTTTTTTTTGTCAATTGATTATTTTCTTAGAAATTTATGTGAAAATACACAACAATTCATAAATCAATATCCGTTTGAAAATGTAATTAATATCAAAGATCTTTTAGCGGTTATTTGTCGTCGAACATCATTACCAATTGATAATGAAACACTTCAATCATATCCATTATGGTTACCAACAACATTTAATTTAACATATGAATTACCAAAATTTATTTCATACTTTCAACATCGAGAACAAAAGTAAGGAATTTGGTGTTTTTTAAGAATAGTTTTTCAATGAAAATTTCATTTTGAATTTAATAATAGAAACTTAGATAATCATTGGATTGTTAAACCATTTAATTTAGCACGATCAATTGATACACATGTAACGAAAAATCTTAATGCTATTATTCGATTAGCTGAATCAGGTCCAAAAGTAAAATATTAAATTTATTTTTAATCAAAAACACAGTTCCTTTTTTTTCTAATTAGATTGTTTGCAAATATATTGATAAACCTTTATTATTTGATCGTGAAGATAGTGGTTTAGTTAAATTTGATATTCGTTATATTGTTTTATTACGTTCATTAGAACCATTAAAAGTTTATGTTTATAAAAAATTTTGGCTTCGTTTTGCAAATAAGTAAAGAATAGAGAAAAGTTTTTTTTCTTTAAATATTAATTTAATTTATTTTAGACCTTATTCATTAGATAATAATTATGATGATTATCAAGTTCATTTCAGTAAGTAAATAACGGATGGCTCATAAAGAATGGAATACTTTGATTTTTTCTTTTTTTTTCCTGAAGAAAAAAACACAATTTAAAGACACTATTTCTAAACTTATTCGATAAAGAATTTTTCGCTCTACAAAACTATCTATTTTGCTCTTCTTCTGGAGCAGAAAAATTGAAAAGATTGACAGCCAATGAACTAAGACTGTCCGAAAGTAAAATACTTAATAAAAATATGTTTAAATAACAGTTCCGTTGAAATTCAAAATTTGCTATAAGATACGATGTGAAAAGGCTAAAGATTTTTGTTGTTCAATTTACATGTAGCATCATTTTGTTCAGAATTAAATCTTGCATCTGATGACATCATTCATAGAGTACGGTAACTTTTGAAAATACAAGTTTCGAAAACGCATTCAAAATAACATACCATCAGATGTTAGTTCCAAGTGTTTTACATCTGAACGGCATCATTAGGAGCCTTGAGAAGATCTTGGGAACATAGAACATAAAATTCTCTATCTATTGATGAGCATAAGCTTGCACAAATCGTTAGATGTCCACAGAAAATAGCAGGAGATTGTAGTTAGGTAGTAAAGCAGCTGTGAATCTTTTCGATTTTTTGTTGATAAGAAAAACTAATTTAAAAAATGAAATTCACATTTTTGTAGTGCGCAAAATTTTCTACAGAATGAGCTTAGAATGGTGCCTTTAAACAGTGTTTCCGTTCTTCAAAAACGAAAAATCAAACTTTCCGATTATTTATGAACGACCCGTTAAAATCAACTTTTCCATCTAAAACAAAATTTTTAGCGGTTATGAATTATCGATATGCACAAAATTTGAAAAAGATTACATGTGAAGAATTTATACCTTTATTTGATAAACAACAACAACAACAACATCATCTTAAATGGTCTGATGTTCAAGTATGAAAATAAAACATGACTAGTTGAAATTTGACTATTTCATTGTTTCTTTTTTGTTTAATATTTTGAAGGAAAATATTTTTTCAATGATTCATCAAGTATTTGAACGTGCTATATTAAGAAAACCACCATGTGGTATGTTATCATGTCATAGATCACGTTCAATGTATGCTATTGATTTAATGCTTGATAAAAATGGTCAACCATATTTATTAGAAATGAATTTTATGCCTGATATTGAACGAGCTTGTTTATATTATCCAACATTTATGGATGATATATTTTGTACGCTTTTTCTTGATGAATCAAATAGTAATGTTATTGATATTTCATCAAAATAAAAGACATTCAGAGCATATTGTCAAAGATAATAACTAATAATGGTATATATTTTGTTTTTCTTTTTATAAAGTTTTCCGAAATAAAGATTAGAATATTATGATACACACTTGGTAATAATTATTATGCTGTAGCAAGTATTGCTTTCAAAATAAAATGTATGCCGGCAACATTTCATGTAGAAATTCAAAAATACGATCTTGTTGTAAATGTAGGATCCTATAGCGAATATTCACTAAAACAGGTCTTTATGCACAAACTCTTTTTATCGTAAACATAGTTTAATAAAATCTACAAAATGTACTAGGTGTCAAACTAAAATAAGAATCAAGACCTAGAAATGGTTCTTCGTAAGTCTAATCATTGAATCTTTTCAATTATTGTTATTTAAAAAGTCAGACAGAAAAATTTCGAAATTTATTTATGCAAATAAAAGAAAAAGCATTGAGGACTCTTTGATTGTTTATTAAGAAAATTAAAGTCCGCAAAGTTGGTAGATAAATTGAGCTGTAGAAAATTATAATAAGATTGCGGCAATGGGAAAAAAGTTGATTGTAACCGAGACAATTATTGATTATTACCAATAATCAAGAATCAAACTTTTTCTCCCTTGGATATTTTCT